TTTTTTTTTTTTTTTTCCGTAAACAAATTTCTTTCAACTGATAAGCGATAAGAAAAAAAATATTGAAATAAAATATCAAAAAAATTGATGAGTTTAGCTACAGTTCAAATTTGTTGACAACAACCTAAAACATCTAACTGAATTTTTTGACTAGAAAATTGTCAATAAACCAATATTTGTTGATCAACCGATGGTGATGATGACGATAATGGACCATACAAAGCTGCACAACAAAGCTCCATTTTTCAATCCAATTCTGTTACCATTGTTGGTTAAGGAGAACAGAGCTGCTGAAAAAAGAGAAGAGGGTGAGAAAAGCGGTGGACAAGGGAATAATTGGAGCTGAGGGATTGGTGAAGAGGTGAATGATGGTTACGATGAGCTATACGGACAACAGGTGAGCAATAAATTGACGCGAATTGTGAGGTGGCAAAAACTGAAAGATCACTGTCATTATTTGGTTCACCGATATACTGTTTGTAAACTGTTATGATATTGTAATTTGTTGCTTTTTTTTTTGACTTTCAAATATAACGGTTGACTTTTATCAAGATTTTAACAAATGTAACATTGAAAAATATGCTTCTGAAGTTACATTAATAACATATTTTAGAAAACTGATGATAGAACTAGATAACAACAACATCAACAATAAACGTACTTCAAGCACATTGTATATTGTTGTCACTTGTTGTTGATGCTCGGATGAGATTCAGTGCAAACAAAACAAGCCATAAGACCAGTATCAACAATGTATCAACGTTTATTTCAGGAAAAAAAAAAGGAAAAAAAGTTGACAATTTATTGAATCAGGGAAAAAAAAACTTTTTTTTTTTCCTTCGACTAAACTTTTTAGTATAGGGTAAAAAACGGAAGAATTCTTCCGCAGTAATTTCTCATCAAACAAACGATACCATTATTCAACAAGCATAGCAAACATTTAACCAAAATAACAAGAAAAAAAAAAGGCGGAAAGTCGGAGAGTATTTGAATGAGAAAACTATTGATATTTTAGTTTAGTTTTTGCATCATCAACTGTGTTTGTCATCTTCATCCATGTACCTTCAACAATTTATGTGCCAGCAGTACTCGAGTTATGTTTAATCAATCAAAAATCAAACTTTTTTACACACAGACCCCCCTCCTGTACTCACTCAGTTTCATCGTCTAATGTACATCGATTTTTTCGCTCAACTAGTCAAAAAGTCAATGGTACTGTACAAACACACATAACACTTTCACATATACAAACTTTCTTTGATGCAAATATATATATATGTATATTTATATATTTATATATACGTATTTGGCAGATATATGTATATCTAAGGCGACGGTCCACTTCATTGAAAAGCTTTTTCACTAGCGATATATTTACACAAGATGTGTTATGTAAATTGACATGTCAAAACTATTCAACATCTAAATATCAGAATCTGTTTCTAACTGTAAGTGCCAGCAAAAAAAAAA